ACTCTGCATTATCTGAAATTCATTTACTTGTCACATTAACCATATGAATTAGATATTGATTAGGAATTGTTGTTACTCTCTTTTTTAAAATGAGATGGAAGTTTAGAGAGGGAGGTCACTTCACCAGGTTAACACAGTAACTAGTAGACTTGGGATTCAAACGCAGGATATAGTCTCCTTTGAGAATCTGTGTCCCTTAACCATTCTGCTACACAGTCTCCCTTTGAATGAACTGAATTAATCTTACCTCATGGCTAGTCAAAAATTAGAACTATTGGCCGGGCGCGGTAGCTCAAGCCTGTAATCCCAGCACTTTGGGAGGCCGAGAAGGGCGGATCATCAGGTCAGGAGATCGAGACCATCCTGGCTAACGCGGTGAAACCCCGTCTCTACTAAAAAATACAAAAAACTAGCCGGGCGAGGTGGCGGGCGCTTGTAGTCCCAGCTACTCGGGAGGCTGAGGCAGGAGAATGGCGTGAACCTGGGAGACGGAGCTTGCAGTGAGCTGAGATCCGGCCACTGCACTCCAGCCTGGGCGACAGAGTGAGACTCCATCTCAAAAAAAAAAAAATTAGACCTATTTTTAGAAATAACTATTGATCTATTAAATGAATTAAAGCCATTTGTAAGTCCAGAGTGACCGTGACGAATTTAAGCTTGCAGCAGATAGCATTCTCACCAAGTAAGACTTTAAGTAGTTCCATTGAAGATTTGAAGTCAGGCATATTCTTGTCTTCCTAGGTGATGGATGTTCTTTTGGATACCAGAATATGGAAAATGAATTAAGGCAGGTAACCCAGTGTTAGTCTCCACAATGTTATAGAGAATCCTAAGCAGCCAGAATATCTGCACTTGCCTTTCACTGTGAGATGGTATGTGTTTTAATGAGCCTAAGCTAGCAAATAATAGGAACAACGATTGTACATCACCATTGATGCTGTCTTTTCATGTCTTGCTTTGATTCTGTCTATGGAATTTTCTAGGTAGGGAAACCTCTCTACAATAAGGTTCAGGGAGAATAAATGAATTGTTAGCACAACTGGAACTTGATCACTGTCTTCTACTCAAACTCAGTGTTCTTTTATTATATCTCAATGCTTGTCGTGAGCAAAATGCTCTGAGTGCTCCAGAAATGCCAAACAACCGAAAGTCCCCCCACTTTCATGTAGCTTTTGAAAGATCCAGTACTTAATCTGATGAACCATTTGTTAAGCTGATTATGTAGCATTTTATTGTGTTATTTCCTTTTATGCATAGTTTCTACTTACGATTATAGTTTCTAGCTGTGGGGAGTTGTGTGTGTGAGAGTGTATTTAATCTCAAAAGAGGTATGGCTAGCTAGTTGAATAAGAAAAATGGTAAGAGTATGTGTTGGGAGGCTGACGTCAATAAATTGAATAAGTCTTCCCTTTTTTATTTATTGCTATGTTCTTTCAGCCTGCTTAGTTATATTAAATACCCCTGACCTTTTTCCCTGCTTGCCTTTCAGGTCCTAAACATTCATATAAAGGCTTCCAATGTGATTAGCATTGATGCTTCTGGGTTTGCATGGAAACTAGATGGTCAGAGATAAATTGTGGGTCTCAGCAGTGGTCAGCCCAGGAGGTTTTTACATCTGCCTCTTCCCTGGATTGAAAATGCTTCTGGGGCCATATGGCAGAGTGCCTCACAGAAGAGCCAGGAATGACTTTCTGGCTGGGTTCCGGATTATCACTTGCTCGTATTTTAAAATGGAGGTTGTAGTGCTTTGGGCTTGATTTACTGTATACTAATGGGATTATTACTTAACTTGAAATGGCATAGTGGGTTGTGGCAGGGGTGAGGATGGATATACCTAGAATAAAATTCCAGTAATGTTATCAGTATTCCATTCAGGGAAAGATTTTATTCAACTGTGTTTCTCCTTAATAAGTATGCAAAGAAGAACACCAGCTAATAAGTATCTGACCTTTGACTGACTTCTGTCTTTGAAAATACAAACAGTTTTGTTTAGAACAAAGTAAGGTTTCCTGACTGGCTTTTTCTGTTTGATTTCTTTAATAATCTATCATTATCTTTCAATTAAATGCCCAAATGTCTTCCCTACATGCGGAGGAGTTATTGTGGCCTGGTTTGTGTGCACACTGCTGACCTAAAATGTGCCTTCAAATATACATACCCAGGACTTGAAAAATCTAAACTAAAAAAGAAAGGTGTTGGGAAGTTTAAATTAAAAAGGGGGAGTGGGGGCGGGGAATGATGCTTAATGATTATGAGAAGATCTCACTTTCTCTGAGCCCGTTTGTGTGTGTCTTTCTCTCTGTGTGTCTGTCTCTCGTGCCCTCTGTCTCTAACCCCATTTCTATCAGCCTTTCTCTTCTCTCTGTCTTCCCTGTCCCATCTTTCTTCTCACCCTTCACCCCTTTCTTGGGCTCCAGCCTCAGTCCTTTTGTTTTCCTCCTCACCCCCAAAAGCTGTCTCTCAGATTGTTTATCACTCCTGGGATGACTTTCATTCATGCTGTTTGCCTGTCTATTTATGTTATTTTTACTTGCTTCCCTATCAGGATAATTCATTTTATTTGAGTGGCTGTGCATACAACTTTAAGATTTCACAACAGTCAAGTCTGAGAATTGTCACAAGAATTTTAAACCTACTTCATCTCCTCTGACTTATCTCCACTTCTTACCCCTGCAGCCATCACCACACTTCCCGCACTTCCCCCTGCTCTATCAGGAAGATGGTAAAGCATATTTGGTTACACAGTGATTTGAAGTTAGGACTGAAGCAGTGAATAAACAGAGTACATTGAGATTCTGCTTGATTTGTACCTTTAAGATTTGGACCTGCAAAATAAACCATGGTGTTCATTTGTAGTGATTGATAATAACAGCCATAAAATCTTCCAGGAAAGTCTGTCTTGCCAGGATAATAAATCTGCAGTCTCACGAGGCTCCTAAAGTTAATAATTTGTCATCATGGTTGTGAAGTATGTGACCTTTTATGTGATTTTATACACAGATGACCACATATGGAAGCTAGGGACACTTTTTCTATGTTTTGGAGAATTATTTCTTAAGAGCAACAGCCATTTTCCCCTCACTATGCAATAGTTCTATTGAAGTACTTTTTATCCTTTAATTGAATTGTATAGTACATCAGTTCATCTCTAGGAAAAGGTGGTGGCTACTTTTACATTCATACTGCTTTCCTGTACTACATAGTGAGCCTAGAAAGAGATTTTGCAGTGGAGCCTAAGGTATTCATTTAGTAAATCGTATTTATTGATACAGGATGTTTAATTAAACTGCCATGTGGCTTCTTCATTTTGACTTAAATAAACTCTGTTCTAGAGGAAGCCGCTGAAACCTGCACCCTCAAAGAGCCTTTCTTTCAGCTGGATTATAAGAGTATGTGTATTAAATATTTTAGAAAGATACGTTTTTTTAAATAAGTAAAAATTATCACACAGGCTGTCTTAAACTATTTTTAAAGAGAGATCTGATTTTAGATTTGGTTAAAATACTAGCCTACATTAGTATTCTTTTTAGGAAGTAAATATTCATATAAATTGTTTTTCCAGAAATTGGCCCTGGATACAGATTTCAGATCATTGAAAACGGAACCATTTGAAATCTGCATTTCCTTTCCTTTTCCTAATTTATTTCAGTTGCTCAATAGGATTTTCTCGTGGAATTAACTTTTCCCTCTCAGCGTAGTTACGTAAGCTTGCTCTTGTAATCAAGAAAAACAATGACCCATTTCAGCACTTATTAACGTGGACTTTACTTGAAGGGTTTCTGGTTTTAAAGTCAGAGCGCATGACTAGAGGCAGATGAAGAGTACCTCATCATTTATAGCCACTGAATCTCTATAATTTGTAAATGCCTTTGGAAAGCTAGATCTGATGCTCAAAAGCATGCTTTTGTGTTAGAAATCTTTTAGTGAATACTTACTCAGGTCATAATGCTTTTAAAGCCCTGCTTTTCTTTCCTCAGAATAAATTGAATTATATGTTACCAATAACAATGCCATGTCATTTCAAAGAAAACTGAATTAAGTAATCCAAGTCTGGGTTGCTGAAAACTAGATGACACAGGGTAGGCACTGTTTTGGTTACCATGCAAAGGATCTCTATTAGTCAGCTTGGGCTGCTATAATAAAATACCATAGAACTGAGTGGCTTAAACAACAGAAATTTATTTTCTCATGGTTCTGGAGGCTAGAAGCTGCAGATCAAGGTGCTGCTGCTTCAGTTCCTGATGAGGGCTTTCTTCCTGGCTTATAGGTTGGCTGGCATCTTGTCCTCACATGGCAGAGGGAGAGTACTCTCCTTCTCTTCTTAAAATGACACCAGTTCTATCAGATTAGAGTCCCACCCCTATGACCTCATTTAACCGTTACTACCCCCTCACAGGCCCTATCTCCAAATTTAGCTACATTAGGGATTAAGGATTCGACATATAAATTTTGAGAGGGCACAGACATTCAGTGCATAAAAGAATGTAGTTGTTTAATTAACAAGGATTATTGAGCCCTGATACCTTGTTATACCTGCCTGTGTCCCTTCCCCCATTCCCCTCCACTCTCCTTTCCTCACAAACACTCAGATAAGGATTTTTTTCAGCTACTGTTCTTGTTATTTATCAAACTACCTAGTTAACATTATGAATTGTAAATGTTATTAGCCTTTGAGAAAGTAGCTGTGCACTGACTGACCCTAATTGACTGGGATGGCTAGATGGTGCCTTCTTCATGGTGGAAGGTAGGTTGGAGAAATGTGGTTGGTAGCAAATGCCATCTGATTTGAACAGCTTTGAGGAAGCCTGGTTCTAGTTGGTTTCAGTTCTCTCCAGATGCTATTTGAATCTAAACCAGTTTTCCAGTTCTTGTCATTACAGAATTGTCTTCTGGAAGAATTATTTCTTTTTATTACTTGGTAGCAATATGGATGTAGTTCTGTGAATCATTAAGGCATTTTAACTTATCTTCCACTCTCTTTTATTTTTTATCTCTTTTAGGTTGTTTGAGGGACGTTCATCAAGGAAACCAGAGAAACTTAAAACGCTCTTCTGCTACTTTAGAAGAGTCACAGAGAAAAGTAAATTCCTTTCATTCTTACTGTAATTTTTCTTGCTGATGGGAACAGTTCAAGTCAAGTGACATGTGAGGAACATTTTGTGTTTAACATAAACCTTCTTGTCCCAACCACATTGAAACAGTAGTAATGATTCAACATTATAACCTAGATTTTATGCTTATGTTGTATATGAGCATAAATGTGTGCTGTAAATGTAGGGGGGCGGGGTTTACATACTCTGAAATCAGACCCATATTCTCTGAAATCTGTAATATATGTCAAAAGATTTTCATGAATAAAAACCAGAGAAAGTATATTGACCAGGAAATAAATTTTGGATGCTCTTTATTTAAAGAAGTATTCACTAGTTTATTTGCATAAGTCAACTAACGCATTGCTTTTCTAACCATTCCTCTCTTTTGTGCCCCCCTAAGCCTTTTGTGGAGTTCTTATAAAACTGTTTTGTACTGAGTTTTGTATCTCCATCTTCCTCTATTGAACCTTAACATTCTTGCTTCCCCAGAACCTGATAGCAGCTGAGACAGTATTAGTAAATGTCCAACAAATACTAGTAATGACCAGTGATAATAGATTAGTATTGCCACTCTTATCTCAGAAGCTGAATGACCATAGTCAAGTTTCTTGACACCTCTAAGCTTCAGTTTTATCATCTATGAAATAATATAATAATGGCCATTACCTTATAGGGTAGTTATAGATATGAAACAAGAAGATACATGCTTAATAAATGTAAGCTATTATCAATGGGTAGCCTTTCTTACAAGTGGATGTAAACCAGAACACCTCAAAAGTTTCTTTGTGCTAAGTAGGTGAGGTCAATCTGGTCAAGTGAAATGGCTTTTTTTCAGTTCTGGGTTGTAGGATTGTCTTAAAACATGTCTTTGAATCATTTTAAGGTCATTTTTCTCATATCCTTCTTTTACTCTTGCATTCAGTGTACTTGGCATTTTCCCCCTTGAATGTGTTGCTATTGGACATTGTTAAATTTTTAGAATGAAATCAATTATCAGGATTTTGATATTTAAGGGAAAATTATTTGCTACTTTGATATGGGATTATTTATCTCATAGCTTATTGAATTTCAGGTTTGTGCCCTGTACTGAATGAAATATTAAAATGCAGAATTATTTGGACCTATGAGATACAAAATCAAATTAGAATTTGTAATGATTTGTTAAAAAGATGACTATTTAAGGCCAGACGTGATGGCTCATGCCTGTAATCCCAGCACTTTGGGAGGCTGAGGTGGGTGGATCATGAGCTCAGGAGTACCAGCCTGGCTAACATGGTGAAACCCCGTCTCTACTGAAAATACAAAAAAATCAGCCGGGTGTGGTGGCCGGTGCCTGTAGTCCAAACTACTTGGGAGACTGAGGCAGGAGAATGGCGTGAACCCGGGAGGCGGAGCTTGCAGTGAGCCAAGATCACGCCACTGCACTCCAGCCTGGGCTACAGAGCAAGACTCCATCTCAAAAAAAAAAAAAAAAAAAATACAAAAATTAACCGGGCACGGTGGTGGGAGCCTGTAATCCCAGCTACTCGGGAGGTTGAGGCACAAGAATCACTTGAACCCTGGAGATGGAGGTTGCAGTGAGCTGAGATTGTGCCCCTGCACTTTAGCCTGGGCGACAGAGCAAGACTCTGTCTCAAAAAAAAAAAAAGATGACTACTTTTTTTTGGCTATTTTAGGCCTAATTCGAATTATTACTATTGGTTTTGTTTTGTTTTGTTTTCACAGTACTTTGAGTTGCTGTTTTAAGAAGAATTATTATAACTAAGTAGTACAGAGTTTACTTTTTTGTCCTGGGAGTCAGATCATATATGTCTTCTCTAAAAACCAACTTGGCTTTCTAAATTTTAGGATTTCAGATACTTTGAGGAAAAAGCTAAAAGTCTGTTTTTTCAACTAGAAATGTATATGCCATTATAAGTATTGGGAATTTGAAGAAATAAATTATAACTAGACATTTTATTTCCTGACTTTTTCACTACACATGGTAATTAAGCTCTTTGTAGAAATGCAGTACAACATTGCTCTTGGTCTTCAGTATGTAAAGCTAACGGTTTAAGGAGGAAATACTAAAGAGAATAAAAGAGGTTGCAATATAATGAGTCGTGTAGAAGTTCTGGAGCCTACTCAGTAGACTTCAGAAACTTATTTAAGATACCATATTTCATCGAATCTAAGATGTCATAGATTATTTTTAAAAAGTGCTATTACATTATATACCTCTAAGAAGGAAAAAACCACTCCGGACAGGGAGTTTAGTAGGAGACCTGACCCACGAGGCTGGTACACCTAAGAATAAATGAGAAATTAATTTATCATCCAGAAAAGGGACCATAAAGAAACATGCAAGTCTCAACCTTGACTCTAAATAGAGAAAGGGAAAAAAAAACATTTCTCTGAGAATTTGAACCACAAGCCCTAAGCTTTGGGTGTGCAGCCTCACCACCAGTGTGGTCCACAAAGGCCTGCCACAAAGGATTAATTCGGATGATATCAGGCTAATAGTGCTCCCAGATGACAGCAGAAGCAGATGCACATATTCTCTGGGAAAATTCACCTCTAGACCTATGGTAAGATACCTCCTAAAAGATGTATTCCAGTTTTGGAAACGTAATATGTGAAAAAACATGCCTTTTAGAATTGATAAAAATAGAATTCCATCAGGACCAACTTTTCAGTGTTGTTAAACATGTATATTTTATATTTGATGAAGATCTTGAGACTGAAATATTTTAAAGAGCATTCCAAATTAAATTATTTTCTGTATAGTTTTAGATAAAGTATCTTAAAGATCAGGTTTTTGAAAATTTACGACCTGTAGGTAGTATATATTGTGACTTTATTATGGGAAGTATTTGATTAACCAAAGTATCCTATTCTGAGATGAAAGTTGCCTTGTTATGAAAGAAAGCTAACAGAGGTGCTCTCAGGGCATTTTTGTTAATCTAAGAAACCATGTTCTTCTGCCTTTTCTTGCTTTGCCAGCAGTGTTTATGAATTTCTCTTAGCATCTCCTGGTATATATGAAGGACATTTGACGTTCTTACTTCTCTGCTAAGTTGCCGAATGACAAGAGAGATGTTTTCTATTATATTCATGGAATTGCTTCTCTAGTGTTTGAGTTGTTTGACCACTTACTTGTGAATTTTAAATATGTTACCCATTTATCCTAAGATTAGATATCTAAAGAATGTAAGACCCATGTTAAGAAAAAATTTTGTTTCCTACTGCAACTGCTCCATATGGTTTTTGAGTGGTTCCTGCTTTTGACTGAGAACAAGGAAATGTGGAATTGTGCGTAGGAATGGAATGATGGCGAGGCTTTCACTGGGCTAGACACCGCCATCACTAATAGTTCCTGACATCTCTCTCTTTCCTTAAGAGCTTTTTTTCTATTCAAGAAAACAGAAATGGCATGGCCTTTTTAGTTTGTTCTTTGATTTGAATCAGACAAATTACTTCTGGCCAGCTGATTTATTTGTTTCTTTTGCTACTAGCTTTTTTAAAAAAAGTAAATCTGACTAGAAAAGGACCTCATCCTCTAAAATTATTGACTGCATTAATAGTATTTCATCTTGATCCTCCCAAATTTATTGCTTCTTGAAAAATATGTCATCTTTGTTCTGTAAACTCTTAGAGCCAGTAATTTCTCCTCTGGCTAAGACTGCGACTAACAAGTAGAGTGATTGCCCACTGTCTAAGCCTGGGACTTAGCTGTACTAACTCCAGAGGATGTGCAAATTATTTCCTTTTTAAATCTGTGGCATTTCACTTTGCCATAAAGTATATAAATGTGTATTTATTCACCAGTCTTTGAATGTAGGGTTAAGTCCTTTGTTTATAAAGGAGTCTACAAATTTGAATTCAATTTTGTCTTTATTGTGTAAGCTGTACCAGTTATACATCCTTTTTTTCAGTGCTTTAAAAAAAAAAAAAAAAAAGTGTATTCAACTTCAAAAACTTTACCAGAAAGTACCAACACTCAAATCCTACTGTTGTGCTGTTGTTTGTATAGTTTTGTTTAGTGAAGTCTTATTATTTTATAGCAGTTTCCCTGTAAGGTTAATATTATTTTCAATCGATATTCTGTTATTTTCCAATACTAGACTTTGTATTTCCTGATTAGTTTTATAGCCAATGTTGGACCTGTTCTTTTACTGAGTGTGTGTGTGTGTGTGTGTGTATGTGTATAATCTTTTCAAAATTGAAACTTATTTTGGATATGTTTTTCTTTTATTGCTTCTGTAGAACCTACTGGGTTGGTGACATTTACAAGACAGAGTCTTGAAGATTTTCCAGAATGGGAAAGGTAACAATAATAATAAAAATAATCCTGGACCCCTAGAATTAGAAGGACTCTTTCACCATGAGAGGATTCTATTTTATAGCACCTGGAAAGATGGTTTTCCAACCTCTAATTATCCTAGTGCCAGGGAATTTCTTCTCATAAATGATCCAATAATAGCTCTCATTTTTGAAAAGGTCATGCCTTTTTAATCAAAGTCTATAACCCTTTGATTTCTACCATTTTGTCTTGGTTTTGTTTTCTGAAAGAAAGTCCTGTTTAGAATTGAGGAGTGTTGTATGTGAAGACACTAATAAAAGGAACACCAATATTTAAATGTTTCTCCTTACCCTTTTTTTGGTAAGTATTTGAACTTTATGGCTTTTCTTTCTGGAGGACAAGATTGAGAAAAGTCTTTTTATTATTTACATTTTAGTAAACAGTAACTGTTTAGAGTTTGTCTGAGTGGCAAGAATTTTGAAGTTTGGCTGCCCTTGTGTACTACTGGTAGATTTTGTGGAAGTTTGTATTTTCTGTTTGTTTCTTATTTATCAGAAAATATTGAGGAGATAGCAGCCAATCTGAGCTAATTCAGATTTGTAAGGTCCTTAGTGTCCTGAAATAGTTACAATACACTTAAAGAAGGGTCCTGAAATAGTTAACTATTTCTTAATCTAAAGCAAGTCCCCTAATACACTTAAAGAAGTGTGGATTAACTTTTTAAATATGTTTGAGGACATGATGAAGCGTATTAAACATATTTAACCAATGCCTCTCGTTTTCACTTTCTAATAATTTTCTAATAATTTTATGATAGTGTGTAATTGTTTTGTTTGAAATTAGTGATGAATGGAAATCACTTTTAAAAAGTTAACTTGAGAAGTCATATCTGCTTAGGTGGCTTTCCTGCGTTGTTTTCATCCATCAAGTGAAAGTGAAGATAAAGATAAAGTGAAGTGAAAGATAAAGAAATTGACTTCAGAAGACTTGTGTGCATGGTTTAGATGATTATTAATAGAGGGAAGTAGATAAAAGGTTAAGCAACCTGAAGAGAGGGAAAAAAATGAGCCTGAAAAAGATAAGAACATGTACAGCATTTTGGCATCATGGCATGTTAGATCTGAAAGGAACCCCAGCCGCCTACTAAAACTCTTGATCAGCTCTGTAATACCTGCGATGGACGGAGACTGGATAGCTTCAATGATGGGAAATCCGCTGTTTCACATCAGTTTGTTCCAATGGTGGCTGCTTGTGTTATCATCTCATGCTTTCATTCACTAAAAATGTTTTCTACATTCATTCTCCACCATTCCTGGTTCTTCCTTCTGGAGCTACATAAATACATCTGAATTTGTAGTTTTAGCATCTGACCCTTCTTTTCATGTATCTTAATGACTTCTTGACCTACTTCCCTCTCTAACAGTGCACATAATTTCATACTAAATTGATTCGTTTCTTCTATTTCACATGTAATACGTATTCTAAACCCTTTATCTCTGCTCTTAACATACTCCCATTCATTGGGCCCTCTTAAAATATGGTGCCTGGAATTAAAAGTACCATTCTGCTGTGCATCTCTGTGGTGCAGAGGATTATTTTTCTTCACTCTTCTATTAGTCTCTAATAGGAATGCAGATGTTTTATTCCTGTTACTTTGGTGTAGATTTTACAGATCAATCTGAGGGCTTATTTTTCAGTCATCCAGATTCTCTACTGTGCATCTGATATTCATTTGGCGCTAATGTGAAAGAACACCCATTTGTATACCACCATGTGGGAGAGAAGGGACAGGTCAAAATGCAGAGACTGGCAAGGCTGCTTTGTCAGTGAGACACAGTAACTTTGCCTCTAAGTGAGACCGAGATTGTCCCCTTAGTTTTGATAGGCAGAATTTAACTTATTTTTGCTTCATTGATCTCTTTTTTGTTTTAGCTGCTTCATAAGTGAGTTGGAGAATGTAATTAAAATCAGTCTCCCAGACTCCACAGAACCAGAAACATGCATTCACTTAAAGAGGGAGAATGAAGAAAAGTTGAGGATTGTTGGTGTTCCCAAGAGTAAGGGGCTAAATGGGTGCCAGGAGTTGGAACTGAATTCCAAGTTTCTGGCATGTTATAGTTAACCGTTTGATTATCAGCAAATACTTTAGCCAGGCTTAATCACAGGGAGCCAGAATCATCTATGTCTTTGACTCCTGGGGTAGGAGTTTAGAGGATGACCTATTGGGAAGTTAGAAAATGCTTCAAAACAAAACAAAACCAAGAAAAAGTTTCTAGCAATTTCATAATTTTATTAAGAGCTATACTATAAAGTTTCTAGTTTCAGTCATGGAGAATAGTTGACAACAGATGGAATTCCTGTTCTGAAGTCCTGACTTGACAGCCCAGAGATTTTAGTAGTATGCTCACAGGGAGGGTCTTCCTCTGAATAAAATGGCTAGGAAAGTAGGACCAAAAAAAAGTTAAAAAATATATGTTAAACTTATGATACTGTTTTCTACAAGAGACCGGGGAAGTAATTTCTCTAAAAGTGTGGCATACTGATTCAGAGCCTGGACCATTGAGTGAGTCTACATAGTTTCACATCTCTGCTGCTTTATTTACTAGTCTTGGTTAGCTTACTTAGATGTTCTGTGCTTTGTTTCCCCATCTATAAAAGGAGATAGTAATAGGGTTGTTGAGAGGATTAAATGAATTAATACAAATAAAGCTCTTAGACAGAACCTGTGCAGAATTACCTTCTGAGTTAAAGCTATCAGCCTGTTGGTCTGGAGTTTTGCCAGAAATGTATTTAAATTCACTGAGACCAGGAAGGAATCAAGCAATTCTCAGTACTTTTCCAGCTAACCTCCTAGACTATTTTCTAAAAATATAATCATCTCCTCCCTCCCAAAAAAGATTATTGGCACTCTTAGGTGAGTTAGAACTTTGGATCTCCTCTGTTTCATTCATAATAATTTATATTTTTTATTCAGTAAGTGATCAGGGGAAAAATATTTAATAAGGAAAATAATGTTAACAAATGCTATTAATACAATGAAATTTGTTGTTAATCTAACGTTAAGTCAAGTAAATATCTCAGTGACCATGGTTGAAAGGGAAAGAAAATAATTATGCCTTCTGAATTACAGATGCTAGGTTTATCTGTTAACCTTATTAATAGAAAAATACCATTGTTCAGAATTTCTGTGGCATGTATTTTCATCAAGACACACACACACACACAGTTATCAAACAGTGAAAACAGAAAATAGAAGCCATATGAGAATCATTATGATTTATTGCCAAATTTTTTCTACATTTTTCCTCAGATTGCCAACCCTAGCCATAACAAAATTTCATAGATCTTAATTTTTTAAATATTTTGCAATGTTTTTCAACTGTTTTAAAGAATAAAAACTTTCATACTATTTAGAGGAAAAGCAGGTTTCAAACAATATGTTATCTCATTTTAATTTAAATGTGTATATTTACATGTTTGAATAAGGAGGATCAGTACCAAGAATGTTAACAGTAGGCATCTGTTTCTGACTTCTGAGATTTGGGGTGGTTTCACTTTTTGAATAGTTACCTATATTTTCACATTTGTCTACAGTGAAGCACTTGTCATTAAAATAATAAGTAAGGGAATGTCTTTTTACATTGTAGATGTGAAAAACCCTTGACACGATTGCATGTCACTTACGAAGGTACCATAGAAGAAAATGGCAGAGGCATGCTACAGGTAGGTGAATCTCAGTAGTGTCTGTGTATGATTGGGACTTTTTCTTCTCAGACTTCTGACAGCAAAAGAAATTTGAAAAGCTGTTTATTTGTCTCCTAAACTGATTTAATGCAAAGAAGCATGATAGCAGAATGAAGGAAAAACACCAAACAGATCACTTTGACAGCCTTGGTAATGTTGTTATTTACCAGTGTATACTCTCTGTTTCTTACATGTGCTTCTCTCAAAAGCCTTTGACAGAAAGTCCCAAGATCTGGACAGCATCAGCCTCTTGGTTCAGACATTGATTGTAGGTTGACAGTGGAGGAAATTCCCAGGGTATAGTCTTGACAGACTGTCACTAAGCATTTTTATTCTTTTTCCTTAAAGGCTGTTCTTGCTCTGCCCTACTTGATGACCAGATTGAGATGTCTTTCAGCCACCAACAGCTTTGTTTAGGTTGAGGGGGCAGACATCTAAAACTGATTTGATAAGAAAGGCCTCTCTCTCGTATGTAACAGTTTCATACATGTGAGCTAGCTATGCTTGCTATGTCTTTTCCCTGTTAAAAGCAGGTAATTCTGTCCACCCCTCAATCTTTGTTTATAATCTGTTACTACTTTTACCTTTAAAAAGTATTTTTGGAGAAGGGGGTTAACAACCCCATGTTTAAAATATAGTAATATCTAACCTAACCTTTTGATTTATAGTGCTGCTTTAAAATTCACTAATCAGAGACAGAATGTTAGTGTTTTGTGTTCTTATCCCATTTATAAGAGCATTGTAAACTGAGTTTTCTTTGAAAGAAGCTTGTATACCATCTCATTTATATTGATAATAGTTTATTTTTCTTCCTAGATTCTTATTTGGTGCTTATATTGGTTCAGAATCTAAAGAAAGCGGTTGCCTGAAAATGGACTGATTTGTTTGAATAACTTAATGCTTACTATAAAATTTGTGTCTAGTTATTATTTAAATGAAACAGATTCTTTCTTTAAATGGCCTTTTATTTGGACATATTTGTAATTAAAATCTCCAAAGAAACAAGCTACGTTTTATTCTAAACCACCTTCTCCCAGTGGTTATTTGAGCTTATAAATGAAAATACTTAGGATAGCTGAATTAATATTTTTCCTGTGCTTACTTTGGAAAAACAAAAACAAAAACAAAACATATTTAAATTTGTATTTACTCCTATACCTTTTTTCTGTTTTAAAACTAATCTTAAAATATGCTTAAATATTGGTTCGAATTAATATCACTTTTTCCCCCACATTCCCCTCTTCATAAAGTTCTTTCCATCTTTAAAGTCTTGGATAAACTGAGAGATTCTTAATACACATGAACTAAACAAAAGTTATGGCTGGTTAGCACCACAGGAATGCTGACCTTTCATTACAATACAATTCAATAAGGAATTATTTGACAACAGTTAAGGTTGAGATCCTCACCACTTCCTTGGAATATCCTGTAGATGAAATGTGAGACCTCGATAGATTAAAAGAATACCGTAAGGGCTTCTTGCTATTAATTGTTCTCCCTACCCATGCCATGTCTCCCCAGGATCAGGGAATATTGTATTGCAATGTGACACAGCTCCTTGTGTAGCATATAAATTACATTATGCTGAATGGCAACAACAACAAAACCACTCTGAGGAGCGTTGTCATTCCTGTCTTTTCATCAAGTTGTAATTCAGAAGCTGAGTAATCTGAACGAGTAGCTTTAAAGTGACTTGGAAAATAACTGGCTAAAAATAAAGATGCACTCCCATTCTTGTTTTCATGTACTGGAACAGGTTTCTCAACTGTTGTAGAGGGTCTTTATTGTTAAGAATTTTTTTAAGTGTAAAACTTTGGTTTTCTAAAAGACTCCGGCTTTTAGAGGCATACTGAGTTTAGTGTTTTTATTTCTGTGCACACCTTTCAAGTTACAAATGTTGGCCTTTTACTCAAAGCATAAACAATAGCATACACATTGAATATATTTCATGATCATTATCAAGTAGTACATAAGTTGGATAGAGCTTATCTTTTTATTTTTGTTATGTACCTTATTCCAGTAAAAATTAAGTTAGACCAATCTTAAACTTCGTCTGTTTCAAATTCGTAGTCACAATATCATTATACTTCTAGGCACTCAGCCAGTCTCTTAGTTCTCAAGTACAGCCCATTTTATTTCGTTACTGAGTTTCTTCTCTTTCCTTTACCATTTTCCTGTTTGAGGCCCTAGTAGTGATTGTATAAACTATTCAGTACTCACCTAACCAGCCTTTTTACTTTTAGTTTTACACTTTTCCATTTATTCTTTAAACTCTAGCCTGAATTATCTTCCTAAAACATAGGTCCAGGTGTTTCTTGAATCTTTCCCAGAACCTTCAGAGGGAAATTGAGTAAAAATTCCCTAGACCTCAGACCACCTTATCACCAACTATAAGCCTCCAACTACTGTACAATGCAGGCAAGCATGAGGAATCTGTTTACCATTCTCCTCATACGGTGATTTACATTTGGTTTTTTTTGCCCTGTGTCCTTGTGCAGCTATGCCCTCAGCCTGCATGTCAGCTGCCACATCCTCTTGTAAAACTTTCCTAGCTTCCTCCCATGCCCCAATTTTAGTTAATTGTATTTTTAGGAAGTATCAAATACATAGTAACAAGCTCTTTAATAATCATCTTCTCATTCTGCTTATGCTCATTCTGACTGCTATCTAAATTGCAAATGCTGTGAGGCCAGGAACCATACATATCTTATTCATCTTTGTATCCAGTGATTCCCAGCACAATACTCAGTAAATATTTGTTGAATTGGACAGTTTAAGCCATGAATCACCCAGTGCCCATAGACCTCATATGTAATAGGTAACTAATTCTAATCAGCAGACTGGTTTCACCAAAATTATTTTCCTATATAAGCTAAAAAGTTACTCTGGTTTTTTAGCATTGGTTTTAGTACTCCAGAATACAAATCCAAATATGCGATTCTCTCTGGTAACTCATTTGAAGTTACTCAGTGGTATGTTTTAGTATTTTCTAAGTTATTCTATGGTAAAAGAAGACTTCTATTAATTTCTGTCTTTTCACATATATTTTTACATATCAAACAATTCATACTCTTGTTTTACTGTTTCGTAAAATAGGCTTCAGATTGTCATTTAGTATCAGTTGCTTTAAAGAACACTGAAGTTTTAAGAAATCATATATTTTAAAATAGTTTGAAAGCATATAAGCCTCGTGGTATTTAGTCAATTCTATTTTACTTGTGTGTATGACTGTGTATATACACAAGTTGTGTGTGTGTGTAATCTAATTCCTAAGATAGTCTCACTAAGGGAAAGATGGTTGCTATTTCTTACATACTGCCTCATGAGGCTGGCATAGTGCTGGACGCACTGGACAAACGGAAATAATGCCAGCAAGTTGAGTTCGCTTCTCTGGAGGATTGTGTATCTCTTCTTTATTAGTAGGAGTTTGGGGATCCCATCATACTACTACACATGAAGCATAAAAGTTTCCAACCTAATTGGAAATATTAATTTAATTGAATCTTTTTTGCTATACTGGGATTTTTTTTTCTTCCTTTTTTCCTTAGTTATATTTAAAAAAAATAGTTTGTAATGTTCATGTAGTTTGGGGTTTGGCGTTGAATTTAGAAGGAAAAAAATTTGATCTCTTTATTCTTACAATAAGGTTGGAAAAGGTTACCCAAAAAGTTGATTACTAAACTTTTCAATTCTTTAGAGCATATGTTTGGTTACCATATTACGTAAGAAAAGTTTAATTACATTCAAGTTATGTGAAATACATAAAGGGAAATTGACTAGTGAATGGGGGAGAATGACTTTGAAACCTTCCCAGATAAAGACCTCCCTTGATTTGTGGCTCCTGAGACACAAATAGGTTTATAAACAAGAATCTGTATAATACATAATGTTTTGCCTAAAGGCTCCATTTTCCAGATTCCTTCTGTGGTTCTGGGATCCAGATAAATGTGCAGAGGTGTTAACTGCAGTGAGATGGAAAGAGTTTAAGCAACCATAATCTACCCTTCCTGGGAAGGTTACTTATTTGGGAATTGATTTTCATGGGAGAGGAAAAGATGAGAGCTTAGAGACTGTGTGCTTCTTGATCATAGGTATTTTTGACCACTATTTAACATGCCACATTTTCCCTACAGGTGGATTTTGCAAATCGTTTTGTTGGAGGTGGTGTAACCAGTGCAGGACTTGTGCAAGAAGAAATCCGCTTTTTAATCAATCCTGAGTTGATTGTTTCACGGCTCTTCACTGAGGTGCTGGATCACAATGAATGTCTAATTATCACAGGTTAGTTTTGGGAAGCCTGGATAATGGGATAGTCTTCCCCATCTGTGAATATCTGTCATGAAGACTAGAGACTACCCAGTAGAGCTTTTCTCTTCCATGGGCATTAGTCCCAATATTTTTATCATTAATTTATACTTAGTTTTTGAAATTATTACAGCCTTATTTTCCTAATCTTAAGTAAGACATCTTATCTTTACCTTTTCTTTCCTGGCATCTTTATCTGAGGAACAGAGATAAAAACTATTCAGTTGCCCCCCAGTTTGAAATTTTATGACATAATAATGCTCTTCAGAAGAATATAGTGATATGCTTCTAGTATGTATTCTATTGTAATTTTTCCATTTGAGAGTGATTTGTTTCTATTAAAAATAATTTTCAAGTGGTTTCTTGTACTTTAGTGTGAAGACAATTGTGTAAATATAAGAAGCACAGGAACAGTATTTAGATAAATCAGTAACCTTTTGTTTACCCTATTTTGAATCGTAAAAGAAAAAGTTCAATTATCATGGCTAGGCGTCATGGCTTATGCCTGTAATCCTAGCGCTTTGGGAGGCCGAGGCAGAAGGGTCACCTGAGGTCAGGAGTTCAAGACCAGCCTGGCCAACATGACGAAACCCCGTCTCTACTAAAATTACAAAAACTATCCAGGCATGGTGGCAGCCACCTGTAATCCCAGCTACTCGGGGGGCTGAGGCAGGAGAATTACTTGAACCTGGGAGGTGGAGGTTGCAGTGAGCTGAGATCACGCCACTGTACTCCAGCCAGGGCAACAGAGCAAGACTCCATCTAAAAAAAAAAAAAAAAAGTCTGATTATCTTGGTGTTTCTTCTTGATTTCTTTACGTTAATATGGGAGGAGAAGGGGGGAAATTTAGTCAAATATATGCTTTAGATCTGTTATAGAGATTTAATTTTTTTGTTTCTTTAGACTGAGATATCACTATGTAACAGTATTTTCTTGTGAATAAGCTATCAATAAAAATTACCTCATATCTCTTAAGAAACTCTTAATCAGGCACCATATGTAAGTTGAGTCTTTTATCCAAGTACGTAAAAGAATATTCCCACATAAGTGCCATTAATGCACCATCAGTTGCTGGTACTGTTTTTTTTTCCTGCACATGTGGATTTTTTTATTTCCACTTAGAATCTGTTACTGCTTGGAGATGAGTGTAGGGGTCTAAACACTCACCTGGGTTGTAGAATTTAGTTTATTGTTATTCCCAAAGATTATAGTAGGAGAAAAAACATCCCCATGAGTTATATAAAATGTGTACCCAACCACATGACCTCCAAAGACATACATGACAAAACTTACTCCAAAGTCTAATCTTGAAGCCACACTGTGCCTCAGATTTGTAGACCACCTTCAGAAGAGTATATTTTCTTTCTTATGTTTTGCTTTTAAGATTCACTTTCACTTTCAACGATTTGAATATGGTGTGTCTACATGTGGATCTCTTTGACTTTAGCCTACTTGAAGTTTTTTGAACCTCTTGAATGTTTAGATTAATGTTTGTTGTATTTGGTAAATGTTGGGCCATTATTTCTTCAAATATTTGTTCTTCCCCTTTCCTCATCTTCTGAAACTCCCAAATTATGTGTCTGTTGATTCACGTGATGTTCCACGGGTCTTAGAAGCTCTGTTTATTTTTCTTCATTCTTTATTATTCTTGTTCCTCAGACTCAATCTTAATCGACCTGTCTTGAAGTTCACTGATTGTTTTTTCTGCTTGCTCTAAACTGCTTTCAATCTCACTGGTGAATTTTTTATTTCAGTTATTGTGCTTTTCAATTACAAATTTCTGTTTATTTTTTATAATTTATATCCCTTTATTAATATTCTCTATTTGAGAGATATCATTCTTATACTTTAGTTCTTTAGACATAGTTTTCTTTAGTTGTTTGAGTATATTTTAAATAGCTGATGTAAATTCTTTGTCTACTAAGTCCAACATAGGGCTCCCCAGGGGCAGTTACTAATCACTGCTTTTTTTTCTGAGTATGGGTCATACTTTCTCATTTCTTTCCATGTCTCCTAATTTTCGTTTAAGACTGGACATTTAAAATAATGTAGTGTGACCCTGGAAATCAGATTTTCTCTTTTCATCACAGTTCATCTTTCTTGCTGTTTTTTTCAATGACTTTTCTAAACTAATTTTGTGATGGCTGTGTTCTTTCTGTATGTGGCCAGTGAAGTCCCCGCTCGTTAGATTAGTAGTCAGCTAACACTTTAACAGAGTTCCTTAAATGCCTGAAACTAATAAGTCTCTCAGTCTTTGTTGAAGGGATGTATATGCAGGTGCAGCCTACCTTCAACACTACACCAAGCAGTTGATAACCTCTGCCTTAGCCTTCACTTCCTGTCAAGGTCAGGCAGAGGAGAGAGCTGAGGGCTTTCTCTGGTTTTTCCTGAGCATTCATATGGCCATGAGCACACATGAGCCCTCTAGATTCCTTCTTGTTTTAATATATTAGAACTTTTCAAAGCCCTTTGTGGACATCTCATTCTTCAGCTTTTCCTTTGAAGCTTTTGGTTAGCCTATTGTTTGCCCCAGCTTTTGGCCACCACCTCAGGAAGTCTTAGTGTTAAACAATGCCTGTAATTGTTTTCATCAAACCCTCACAAGAATTAGGCTTTTCCTACTGGGCAAGCAACAAGTCCTGTAAAGTAAAGACAGCCTTCTGAGCGGGGCCCTCCAGGGGACCACCAGACAGGTCAAATAATGATAGTTCTCTGAGAATTGGGCTTTGAAGGAGCTTTCTTTTGCCCCCTCTGATGGCTGCTGATTTTCACTGTGATTCAGGAATGTTAGTTTTTAAGGCCGAGATGGAGCTTGGGAGAGTGGGATGGGAATAAGGCAAATGAAACACTACAAAATTTACTGTTTTTACCAAGATTCAGCTGGTTTTTCTTGAATAAACACTCCCTGGATTGCTGCAAGCCTTTGTTTACTTTTCAGTTGATTCTCACAGTGCTCATCACAGTGTTCCCATTGCTTTCATGGAGGAGAGAGTTTTCAGAGGTTTTTACTGCACCATTTTTGACTGATGTCTTTTTATCTTTTGTAAGCACCCGTTGATAAAGGAGCTTTCAATGAGTTAATCTACACCATTTAGACATCCTGTGTAAATTTTTATCCCCGTGATTCTGCTGTTTTGGTGAAATAAAGCCAAAAAAAATTGTAAATTGTCTGACTTATGTAGGAAATTAAGATTGGAACCTCCGCAAAGGAATTTTTTTTCCTAGATAGAGCCTCAGTCAGCCATTTGAAGTTAGTGACTTGGAGTACTGCATCCAGAATTCTGAGATTATGATCCAAATTAAACTGAAATGGAAAGATAAACTCCTTTCATACTCAACACTTCCTCAACTCACATTTTGGCCATCTGTCTGCATTTGTTAGTTATCATGGATACACATGGGAAGTTACAGTTGGGCAAGGTACTAAGAGAGATGAGATTGCAAGGAATTACAGAACAAAAAAACTGGCATAAATCTATTGTTGGGCAACCAACACTTTGGCTGTTGCTCTCATACTATTGTAGGGAAGCTCTGCAGGTTTGGAATGTGACTGTCTTCATCATTTACATACATCAAATATTACTTTAAAAGATTACTATTCCGGCTGGGTGCAGTGGCTCACGCCTGTAATCCCAAACCTTGGGAGGCCGAGGCGGGTGGATCATGAGGTCATGAGATCGAGACCATCCTGGCTAACACAGTGAAACCCTGTCTCTACTAAAAAAAACAAAAAAATTAGCCAGGCCTGGTGGCGGGTGCCTGTAGTCCCAGCTACTCCAGAGGCTGAGGCAGGAGAATGGCGTGAACCCGGAAGGTGGAGCTTGCAGTGGATCGCACCACTGTGCTCCAGCCTGGGCAACAGAGCAAGACTCCGTCTCAAAAAAAAAAAAAAAATTTTTTTTTTTTAACTGTTAAGGTAGATTTGGACTGAAGACTAGAACAAAATATCCCATCAGTTTTTAAGATGAATTTACATTCTTGAAATAAAAAACTTGATAAAATGCATTTAAACTTAAAGCTAACTTGTTTCATTTGTTTAATTTCTCTAGAAAGTAGTAAGAACTGGGCCGGGCAAGGTGGCCGACACCTGTAATCCCTGCACTTTGGGAGGCCGAGGCTGGGGGAGATCACGAGGTCAGGAGATTGAGACCATGCTGGCTAACATAGTGAAACCCCATCTCTACTAAAAATACAAAAAATTAGCCAGGCATGGTAGCATGAGCCTGTAATCCCAGCTACTTGGGAGGCTGAGGCAGGAGAATGGTTTGAGCATGGGAGGCAGAGGTTGCAGTGAGACGAAATTGTGCCACTGCACTCCAGCCTGTGTGACAGAGCAAGACTCCATCTCAAAAAAAAAGAAAAAAAGAAAGAAAGTAGTCAGTACTTTGTCATCCTCCATTAATGTTGTTAATGTAAATAAAGGATGTCATTTTCCTTGGGAATAAAACAGGAATGTTAAGAGGAAAACGTTAGAATATTTTCTTTTTTTAAAGATAATTTGTCCCCAGTCTAAAAACGGATTCTAATCTCCTTTCACGTAATCTCTAAACGTTCCTTCAGCTATTGTAAAATGAATGGAAAATTGCAGATCCATGACTCACCTTCAGATCTGTAATTACCTCAGGCTAAGGACATACGGGGTGACTTTTAACTCAGCATTTTCTCCCACATCCACTTAACTTTATTATAGTGCCTCCTAATTAATATCTGTGATGTGATGTTACCTTAATGGAAATGGCCATTTCATCATCTATTTGATGTCTGGACTTCTGCCATCTCCCTCCTTAGGAGACTCTTAGCCATGCACTGCAATCTATCTGCCTGATCAATTCCATTCCTTCAATGATGCATCCAGCTCAGTGAGCTAATGGCTGTGACTGTGCTGCCTGAATCTGTAGAAGAGTTTGAGAAATTGGAAATAAATTAAATTTATCATCATTATGGGATATCTGGTTGGTATCAGTCTTTTAAATGAC